TAGCTGGAATAGCAGGCAATGGAGGTGAAAGGCTGGGTGTAGGAAAAGTCAGCTGTGTACAGGGGGCACGGGATGGAGTCACCCTTCCATGAAATCCAATAAAACCTGATCTGGTCATGATTAACTCAACATTTTCAAAACCCTTTTAAGAGCTCACAAAGAACATAATGTCCAGTCAACTTGTAGTGGTATACGAGAGACCCCTGACTCTAATATCCCAGGATGTCAGCCCTCTGCTTGTTTCACGTTTTGATGCTGAACACTGCTTTGCTTCTCCGTTCCAACTTATTTATTTAGCATTCTTACTGCTTTATCTCATTTATAACAAGCCCTTGAACGTTAAGGAAAAGTACATTATACAGAAAACTCATCTGTTTGAGCAGTCTGAAGTTTACATTAAAAGGTTTACATTAAAACCATCAACTGATACATATAATTAGTGGCAGAACTTCCTCTTGTGCCCAGAACCTGTATGCTCAGCTGTGAAACTGCTGAACACAGAGAATGGAGAAGTGTGAAAAGCATCTTTCATCAGGCTCAGCCATGCTCAACCATCCTCCCAAAACATGCAGGGTATCACAGGACCCCTCAATACCTAAGCAGTGTCTCCGGTATCTGCTCTGCGTCAGCCTCCAAAGTCAGTCCAGTTTCTTTCTTCACTCCCTTGTGAGGGGACTCCCCGGGCAGGGAGATGGAATCCACATTGCCCCCTTGCTCCGGAGGGTGAATACAAAGTGACTCTGAGGGAAACATGAAGAATTTGATTGGATCTGGAATTTTTCTGACAGACCCTGATAAATTTGTCTTTTAAAACAGAGACCCCTTTACCATTACACATTGTTTTTTTTTTTTGGGAGGGGGGAACCGAATGATTAACAGTGATTGCTACAAGAAGAGAAATACCATGATTTGGGGTAAATCTCCCTGAGACTTGCTATACAACTCACCTGTCTTGCTTCTATAACACACTGCAAGAGGATTGCTATATGTAGTAAACACACTAACTATTGGCTTACTCATGCTGTGCTCAGTAAAAAGTGATCAGTGCACACAGCAAGTACCATTCAACCAATTTGAAATTGTGTTGGAAATGCTCATCTGAACCTCACAAACAGATGTGTCTAAACTATTTCTGCACTTCATTTCTTTAACTATGTCAAGTAGCTGCTGGGCTCCTTGTCTGTAAACAGTATGAAAATAAGAACAAAAAAAAAGAACTGAGTTGCATAGTCTCCTCTGTTTCCCTTCCTGATCTAAGGTGGTGATTTGCCTACAGTGGCAGCTTTGTAGTATCACACACGTGGTGTTAAGGCCTACCTGTTGTTTTTGTGCAAGAGGCAAAGCCAGCATGTCACTAAACCTATCCACCATGTTCTGATTAAGGAGGGGGAAACATTCCCTTTCTTGAATAATCAGATCTAGGTGTTTAGATAGGGTATAAGAGGAACTTGTGAAATTCCTTTACAGAAAATAGGGGTCAAGATGGACCAAACTGAATATACAGTCTGTATATGTAGTGGAAACTTCTATATGCTCACTCCAATAGCAAGTAAAATAATCCCCAGAAGGGTATTTTAGAGCAATCATGCCAGGCATCAGTTCCCTGAGGTGAAAACCTTCTCCTGAGGTTCATTCTGATGGTACCTGTTTCAGCCTGTACTTTATTGCACAGACAGCTTTGTGTCTCTCTTTATTATTTTCTCTCTATTTTTAATTTAGAAACCTGCCTACATTTATGTCTCACTGTTCCGTTGGAAACAGATGGTCCTTCCTGGAGACACACAGTTGAGTGAACAGACACCAACCACTTCAACATGTGGTAGCATGTTTGTAATTAGATATTTAAAGTGCTAGACAATTACTATCGAACCTTGTCATGAGGGAAATTTAGGTCTGTGTTTACCGAAGTCTGAATTATAAACTGGATCCCTGCCAGAGCTTTACTCTTGGGTATAAAAGAAGACTATGGTTGAATACAGAATGACACTGATTAAAGCCACCACCTGTCTCTTATATGATCACTCACTCCTGCCTCCCACTCCAGTCCCCTAGCTTTTGTTGACTGTTGTATGGGATTTGCACATGTGATAAGTTTTGGGATCCAACCAGCTGATCATAGGAGGTAACCACCTCTGGAACATCACTAGTTTAGGGAGCAGCTTCCCACCCAGTTTCGGACTACAGACTGGTAAAAGTATCTCCATGCCAGAAGAAGACAGTATCAGCCATTGTCACAATCAGAAAAAAAAAAGCTAATAAATCATAGAATTATAGAATGGTTTGGGTTGGAGAGGACCTTAAGATCATCCACTTCCAACCCCGCTACCATAGGCAGGGATGCCTCACCCTAGACCATGTTCCCCAAGGCTCTGTCCAACCTGGCCTTTAACACTGCCAGGGATGGAGCATTTACCACTTCTTAGGGCAACCACTTAAAGTTAGAGAAAAGAATGGAAAGCAATAAAAGATTTCAGGGGAGAAATTACAGGGGAACATATAGAAAAGAAAGAAGATTTAAGAGTTATCTAATCCATAAGGTAATTTAATTACTGCATGGGTTTTGCCCTGGTTGGAAATATCCAGCCTGTGGAAGTTGAGAGCAGAGCACTAACTGCTCCTTCCACATGCCTCCCTCATCACTGCAGCCATGCTGTGAGTAAACACTTGGAATCACAGAGTGCAGTTTCAGAAACACACAGTTCCCTCTGGTTTTACCTTTACTTGCAGCAGAAATAGTGCAGGATGCTGGGGGAAGTACTGTGGCTTAAGTAAGAGAAACATTAATGTTTCAAAACTATGAAAATGGTTGAGCTTGTAGGTGAGGGAAAACCAGTTTCACATCAAAACTCCCATGCCTGAGCTGCTAAACTCCAGCAGAATACTTACATATAATGGTTGTGAAAGATGAAATTATATAATGACTTCATTTTTGTAAAAAAACTAAATTGTTAGCTCTAAGTTTGCAGAGGGATTTAGCAATGAAATGCTTCAGGGATAACTTGTTTTCAGTGGGGAATTCTGTGTACAAAACTGATTAAAGAATGAAGCCAAATCCCTGCCAAAGATACGGGCAGGATCATGAAAGCAGATGAACTACAATTTCCCATGCACTAGAATTCGCAGTAAAGGCCAGGAGCAAAATGAGCACAACAGGAAAGTATTTCAAGAGCCAGGGTTGAGCTATGGGAGAAAGTTGTGTGCGTTCCTCTGTGTACCTATAATCGCTTGCAAGATCTAAAGAGAAGTAGGTGTTGATCTCACAGAGAACTAGCACACTCATTTAAATACTCATTGTATAATTTGGGAAAGGTATCTTGGAAAGCGATTTGAAAAAGATTTCAGACAAGGTTTATCAAAATATAATAAACACCCAAACCTTTCAAGAAACTAGGTAATGTAGGGATGGACAGAGTGTAGAAGATAGGAGTGATAAAAAGCAAGCAGTAAAACCTTGTAATGCCCTTTGAAGTATTGGGTTTAACTTACTGGTTTCTTACAGTTAAAATTCAATAGCTCAGAAAGTAAACAAGCCCAAGTAAAGATTTCCCAGGAACACAGTTTTGGATTGGGCTCTACACTGCAACGATACCTGGGGTATCTGTTGCACCATCACCTTGTAGTTCAGTAAAATCTTGCAGGATAGTAAGTTAAATTCAGCTGAAAAACGTCTGGGTGAAAGGAAAGGTGAGGGAGTGAAATACAACTCCATTTGCAAACTCTGAGGAACAGGTTGCAGAAAGTTGAAAGATGCTAGCTGAAGGGATGAGAAGAGCTCACTAATAGTTGCCATTAATAAAAAATACCTGTACCTCAGTAATGTTAGGCCCGTAGGCAACAGTAAATCAGGGTTTGGTTTCTCATGATGTTAAGGATTATGCACCCACATAAAGCAGCCTCTGCCCTGACAAGTGTACAATGTAATTGTTGTCCAAACACATCCCACTTCCTCACTACGGCTGACTCATAACTGCTTCTGAAAAACTCCCATAGGAACATTCGTTGCACAGAAAGAAGCAGATGTCGGGTTTTCTTTGTTGCCTCCATTTTAAGAGACAAGAGAAACCGCACCAGTTCGGTTCCATGTGGGACCCCTTCGGGATGAGAAAGCTGAGGTATTTGCAGCACGTCGCCCTGGAAGCTGCCAGCTGAGGGAAGCACGGAGCAGGCAAGCAGAGGGCAGTGTAACCACACCGTTGCACAGAGCCGCCTATCAGCGCAGGAACCTGGGAAGAACCAGCTATAGGGAAAGCAACATGAGTTGGCTAGTACAAGCCATGGCCAGGGGTTCAGGGGGAAGCCCAAGGCGCCATTCCTGCTCCCTCTGGGACTGACACAACCCCGTACCTCAGCCTTCATAGAGGCTCTGCCAGCGTTGCCAAGCGGGGTGCAACCTACAGCGCCAAGCTAGGGCCTGATGGAGGTCTCCTACAGCCTGACAAAGCCCAAACCAACATGCTCGGGGTCGCCCCAGCCTAGGGACACCCCCAAGGCCCGAGCCCCACCACCCTAAGGCGAATGAAACGAGGAGGACAAGACCTGCCACTTTCCCCCCTCCTGAGGTGACCCCCCTAAACCCCAGTGCGCATGCGCAGATGGGGAGCGGGCGGTAGTGCGGAGACGCATGCGCAGTACACCCAGCCGGACCCCTCTCGCCGCACCACCCGCACACCCGCGTCCCTCTTGCGGCTCCATCCGGGGACGCGATGACGTAATCGCCCCGCTGGGCGAGAAGCGAATTGGCTCTGGCTGCACCGCTGCCCTATGGTAGAGCGGGTTAAAGTTCGGCGGGCGGGTTGCCCAGCCAATGAGAGCAGGCAGTACGCCCGAGGGGGCGGAGCCGGCTGTGTTTTGTTCAATTGCCGTGGAGCACTGCAGTCCATACGCGCAGGGGAGGCGGCACGGGCGGGTGCAGGTACCTGCGGCCGGCGCTGCGGGAGGGACGGGGGAGGCCGTGGGGTCAGCGCCCGCCGCTGCAGGGCGAGCGCAGCCGACAGGTAACCGCTGTTGATGTGACCGGCGGCCTCGAGGCAGTGCCGGGCGGAGCGCGGCCGGCCAGGCCCGGACCCCTTCCCCGAGCCTGTGTGGCTGCGGGAACCAGACAGCTCTCTGCGGGTGGCGGAGTGACCGCTACCGGGGGGCTGCTGCTCCGGGGGGGTCCCTGCGGGGTGGGGGTGAGGCGCCGGTGGAGCCCTTCCCCGCGGCGGCAGCCTGGTGCTGCCGCAGAGCTGCAGGCTGCTCATCTCCGTAATTGCATAGGTAGATACATTGGCATCGGCTTTATATTCATCATGGCTATGGTCGGTGCTGAAGCCGGGGGCCGCGCTTCTCCGTCGCGGCAGGGGGTAAAGGCTGGCTGCGTTTCGCCGTGCTGTTAGCTGAACGCTTCGTGGGGAAGCTAAACGGCGGCTGTCTGCAGCCCTGGCAGGAGAAAGAGACACTCAAGCCCTCCGAAAACCAACTTATTAGTATTAATTACTGGTCTCCGGGTGTGAATGAGGGTGGCGGGGAGGCCGTGCCTCCTTCCCAACGGGCGGCGGGGCTGCTCTGGGTGAGGGCCCCGGCCTGCCTCAGCGGGAGGGAAGGAGAAGGGAAGGAGCCCGGGCCCGGCCGGGCTCGGGCATTCCTTTGTGCCGCTGCCTTGCGAGACACATGCCTGCAGGCACGTACCCCGGGGGTTTTGAGGCGATTCTCCCCCCCGCTGTTGCTCAAGGATAGAGTTACTTCAGAATAGGTGCATGTTTCTCCACAATAGCTGCCTTCCACAATGATTCCTGCGTGAAAACGGCGATTATTCTCTTCCTTCCCCTCCCTCGGCAATAGGAAAGTTGATTTCTAATTTATGGCTTGTAAGTGTAACGACCGACTGGGCTCAAAAGTCCGAGATCGGCAAGTGAATAGGCTCTTTGTGTTATTCTGGCTTTTCTGAGGGCAGTAACATGGCTTTGTTCTGATCATTTGGCTTATTAAATGTCTACTTGTCTGTGTGAAGGCTGAAGAGAAACGTGTACTTGAAATTCGGAAGCTATTTAAGGAGGTTGCTTTAGGTCTTGTGAGACAGAGGCCGCCCACCGCAGATGATCCTCTGCTTTAGCATTGCATCCGTTATCTGAACTCTCCTGGCAGGGATCTGAAAGTTGAGGCGTTTTCTCTTTAGGTAAATGATCTATCGAGTCAGAGCCCTTCAGAAAGCAGCAATTAGTGCTTTGTAACTTTCAGGTTGAGGGTGGCTCTGTGATTAAGACCAGATAAGACACTGGCTTTTAACGTGCATGCCGAGTTCTAGGCCTCGGGATGAGTTGAGCCAGCTGGTCAAATCTATTTTCTGGTTCACTGTGCTTACATTAAAATTAGCTCCTGAGAACAGTTATTACAGCCTTTACGGTTACATTGCCTCCCATTCATATGCCTGGCTGCTAGGAAATATTTTTGTCAAAGCCATTTTTGGCGAGAACGAGTAAGTTTGTGTGTTCTTGTGGCAAGCTGAAATGTTTCTGGATGTGTTTTAATTGTGAATTGTCTGTTTGCTTCAAGTCGGGCTTATGAAATGTGGAGCACGTTTGCTGAACTGCAGGAACTTTCCTAACAAAGCATGTGACTTGATCTGCGTTTTACTGGAGATGCAAGGTACATGATTAAGCCCAAAGAGCTTGTATCTTTACAATTATCATGCTTCCGAAAAATCCCTGGAAGAATTGCACTTGGCGACTACCATGTGTAGGGAGCTAAAACATACATTTGAAGTAGTTCTGCATTAGCTGATGGAGCTCCTAACTAGAAAATGGGCTTACTATTTGTTCCCTTTGAATTTATGGAAAATACTATTCATATTAATCTCTCCATTATTTTTAATCATCCTGAGGTGGTTTTTTGGCAGTAATAAGATGTTAGTCGTTATCATACGGAAGTACATGCTGCCTATTCCACACAGACTTAAAATGCTTATCTGCAGGATCATCCCACTAATGATATCCTTTCAGGATGTTCCATGCTGTGGAAATCTGGCTGTCCTCTAGTGGCCTTTACCTGCCAGTGTGTAACCCACAGTTATTATCTCCTTAACTAGAGAATTAAAGTTGATTAAATAATTGCAGAGGTGTATATTTTAAGTTTGCTGTAGTTAAACTGCCCGACTTCCTCATAAAAAGCTATTTTTTTTTCCTGCAGGGTACTATGATATGGAAGAGTGAGGAGGCTGAAAGGAGAAATATTACTTGTATTTGCAACCATCATGTTAAGCTTTGGAAGTTTAGTATAGGCATAAAACTATTTTATGAGAATATGGTGTGCAGATAAACTGAAAGCTTAACCTCACAAAGATGACTGCAACTTATTGCAGGGATTGCTTTATTTAAAACAAGCATGAAGGATTTATTCTTTCCTATAGGAATTCCTTGAGGGTCTGGTAGCCATTACTGTAGCTCCCTTTTTCAGTTCCTTCTCCTTTTCCCTTCCCGTTTTTTTTCTCCCCCTTCCCCTGTTGCCTCCCCCAATCTACATTCCTTTGTGTGAGCAGTGATGATGGCAGTTCTAGTCACCTCCTGTGGTTTGATAGATTATTCCTTTTAGAAACATGGTGTACTTAAAACTTTACAAACACAATTCTTTCTTTCCTTGTTCCTGCACTTTATTGATGCTGGTTTTGAGTTTTCTCCTAAGAATTTATCCTTTGTGGTTCTGCTTTGAGTTTTCTTAAATGCTAGTGAAAAGTCTTGTTAAACCTTTAGTGGAGAATTTCATTATTTATATTATACTTTACATTTCTTTTTTTGTGTATTTTGATGGTCATAATATAAACAGAACTGTTGCCTTTTGGCAACAGTGAATTTCCCTTTCCCCTGCAAGACCATGAGTATTGTTCTTTTTTAGATAAAAGTTTGCTTGCTTTAAACTTGAATTTTTACTTTTATAAAATAAACTTCTTGGGCTATTTTTAGATGACTGCATTCTTGACATCTGATATTCATTCAAGAATAATCTTGCAGATGAATGTTCATAGTCCTTTGTCTTTAGTCTTAATTTACATATAAACTTACATGTTCTACCATAATGTTTCAAAATGTAAGAGGTTCTTGCCTGTTGAGGTGGTAGTTGTAACTTTTATTCTAGATATGCTAAGTAATGTAAGCTTCCAGGGGGTGGTGGTGGTTGTGAAACTACACGCATCAACCTGTGAAGGGCTTTATGAGTGTTCCTAAGGAAGGGTTAATGAGCAAAAGGTTCATTAATTCTAGGGAAGAAATTCATGGCTAGAAAAATAGCTACTTAAACTCGGTATAGTGGCTCAGACTTTCTTGGTGGGTAGGTTTTAATCTGTCGACTTTGTATACCTAAGAAGTAGCCATTTATGTTGACAGCCTGGTTTTTTGTCATAAAGGTTGTGTGGTTAACAAGATCTTAACAGTGAAGTATTGCAATCCAGTGATGAGAGTCTCTATAAAACAGAAACAACTGTGCATTGTTGGTTTCTTTTAACCATAAAGTTGGTTTGGGGATAGAGACATTTTCAGAACATAGGTTTCTTTAAGGATTTTCTTTCCCTAACAAAAGGAGGCCTAAAAAAAAAGGAGGGGGGGGGGGGGGGAAGGAAGGATATTTTTAACTCCTTTCTAAGCTGTTATACAAATTTTCCTGTGATGAACCAGCTGGATATTGCAGTACTGTTAAGTATAGAAAAACCTATGTTAACTCTTTTATATCACCGTTTCTACATTTTGTGCTGTTTTGCCTGATCTGTTTGGGAAGTAATAACATCCACAAGCTGGCAAGAAACTCCTCAGCTAACTTCTGATGCTTTGTAGTGGGCGCAAATAACTTCTGAAGGCCATGTTTCTGCTGATTTTCAGGTTGCAGGGAGGAAGTAGGCAGAGTTGTTACTAAACACATTATCTGGGTTATGGCTCTCGGGTTACTGACAGCGCTGTTTTTTAAGCAGGGAGTTGAATGTCATGCTTTAGAAAATATGAAATGTTTCAATTAGGAAACTTAGTAATAAAATCAAAACTAATATAATTGGCTTTCCCCTGTTTGAACTTGATTATATTTTAGTGAAATGCAGGCCATCACTTATGTTTTGCTGTTAACAGCAAGATCAAAGGTTCCAGTTGCCTAATGTTAGCATCGTTGCTCTGAATTTGGTATGACAACATTGTTTTAAGTTCCTAGGAAAATTAAACTAGTAAAGTACAGGGAAGACTACTGTCAATGATACGTCAAATTGCAGGCCTGGAGCTTTGGACATACAGTGCCAGTGATGGCAGTTCTTCAGTGTGTGTAAGTCTGTACAGATAGAGCTAAGAGTGTGAAATCGAACAATATTTTGCCTGGAGCTGTCATGAGAAATGTCATTTACAAAGCTGACTCAGTATACTAAGACCTAAATGTCAGTGTGGGAAAGGTATTTGAGATGGAAGAAACCCATTTCTGCACTTGCTGAGCTTTAGAATTTGAACTGAGCTGGTACAGGAGGTAGCCAAAGAAATAACTGCTGCACCACTTTACCTTTACTTTTGTACTTTACGCTGAGATCTGTGATGCTGAAAGATGGGATCTGAATTCCTTTATCCTGAAGAATACTTTTCTCCTTAACACCCCCCTCGTCCAAACAGCTTTGGCTGCTGGCTTGTTGTTTATTTGTTAATGCACTTAAGTCTTTCTGGGTTTATGAAAGATCATGTTTATAATATGGCAATTTCCACACCAAAGTTAAGGTGGGTTAACTTTAAAAATGAAGGAAAAAAACCTTTGCTGTCCTAATAAGACCCCATACAACAAGGCTGAGGTTTCATTTCTACTGTCACCTTCCCTTGAGCCATGAATGGGAATAATAGGAACTTCTGCTGATGTTATATTAACTTTAGGTCTCCAATTTGCATCTCAAATAACATTGTGAACAGCATTAATGCCTTTGAGGGGTTTGGGAGGTTTTTTAATTTGTAGGGTAAATGTGTTTTTTAACCTAATTGGGAATCAGATTATTATTGCAGCATGTTTAGCTTTTGCTCTGCGCAGTTAGTGGTGTTGTCAGTGGCACTAAATCATTCCTTCAATGCTATGCATATGTATTATGTTTCACTTTCTTAATTGTGGCTTTAGATTTTGTCCTAGTAAAGTATTCCTCCATTTCATGCAGTTACTACTGGATACAGTGTAATGTGTCCTTTATCCTACCCTTCCTAGTTTAAAGGGAAAATTCGTGTTTTAAAGGTACTGCTTCCTTTAAGTCTCCATGCTTTCACACTGAAAAATGCATTTTTCTG